ACTACTGTATCCATTTGAAAAATTAATTAAATATTTTTATAATCCTATATATTAAGCATATGTAAAATTTCAATTTTCAGTCTATCAGGAATGTATGCTTTTGGTTACTCCACTGGATAAAAAGTCTCAATTAGGTAAGTGATTGCTTGAAGTAGAAGTGTACAGGTGATGGATGGTTGAGAAAATGAATCATAAATATCCGTTTGACTCCCTGGTCAGCTGCAGAAAAACACAGTGGTCTCCAATCTTTTTCCCTTGCTGTCTTATACATCAACATATTCTAAGTAATATATTTTAACTAATTCTGTTTCTCTTTCCTCTCTCTATCCTTCACTGTTGAATAAAGCATTGGTTGGTTGTAAATTTGTATATCTAGTCTATTGACTGACTAGAGATTATTGAGAAGGGCTTGCTAAAGAACTAGAGGGTGACTAGATATAGCAAGAGATCCAGGTCACATGGCAGCATATACCCACAAACATTTGAAACTACTGCAGCATGTATTTGTCATTAGTATTTGAAACTAATGACAATATGAAAAGGTATTTCTTTTGGGGTTTCCTGATATAGTATAATTTTACATCAATGATACATTTGAAGGTGTCTTTCTGCTTCCTAATACTTTGAGACCCTACTGGATTAAGAAGATAGAGGAATAACTCTTTTTCCTTTGCCAAGAAATAAATGAGAACACATACACTCTTCTTAGTCATATGCTCTCTCTAGCCTCTTGTGATTCACCCTAGCTTTCTTTATTCTCCATACCCCCAGCCCAAATATCTATAGACAGTTCTTGACTTAAGGTCATTCAACAGCAGAATAATTTGAACACTGCTCTATGTCAGACACATTGCTTCATAGTTGCCAGGATAACTGCTGCTGTGCTTCCTCTGAATGCTCGGGTTGTCAACACTAGAGTCTTAACCAAGTACCCATGTCTTGCCACAGAATACCAATTTAACACTGTAAAAGGAGCAGGAATGGGAGCAACCACTAAGCTTCCAGCCCAGAATATTATGGAAAGTAACCCAAACAAGGATTAAAATGTTAAAAAGTTTTCCTATTAATTATTTAGGGCTAATTATTTAGGGGTTCAACAACTAAAACACCTGCTTTACGGTATGCTTCAGTATAATCACATTGAATTTACATAGTAATCAGTTGTAAACACTCTGAAATTTTTATTTAAAGGTGATTGCTTTTAGAGTCAGTAAAACAATGCATAGTTGCCTTATTCTTGAGATATGTGTAGTGAAACAAAATGTTTGGAAATGACATATTTCTAGCTGTCCTATTTAATACTACATTTAAATAAACAATACATTTATAACAAATATTTATGTTAATAAATACAATAATAAAACCAATAGATTTAATTTCCAGAGTCTACAAGGAACTTAAACAAATTTACAAGAAAAAACAACCCCATTAAAAAGTGGGCAAAGGACACGAACAGACACTTCACAAAAGAAGACATTCATGCAGCCAACGAACACATGAAGGAAAGCTCAACATCACTGATCATTAGAGAAATGCCAATCAAAACCATAGTGAGGTACCGTCTCATATTAGTAAAAATGGCAATTATTAAAAAGTCCAGAAACAATAAATGCAGGCAAGGTTGTGGAAAAAAGTTACACTTTTACACTGTTGGTGGGAATGTAAATTGGTTCAACCATTGTGCAAGACGATGTGGCAATTCCTCAAGGATCTAGAGGCAGAAATACCATCTCACCTAGCAATCTCATTACTGGGCATATATCCAAAGGAATATAAATCATTCTATTATAAAGATATGTGCACATGTATGTTCACTATTCACAATAGCAAAGACATGGAATCAACCCAAATGCCCATCAGTGATCAGCTGGATAAGAAAAATGTGGCACATATATACCATGGAATACTATGCAGCCATAGAAATGAATGACATCATATCCTCCACAGGGGCACAGATGGAGCTGGAAGCTGTTATCCCCAGCAAACTAATGCAGGAACAGAAAACCAAACACCCCATGTCCTCACTTAGAAGTGGGATCTGAACAATGAGAGCACATAAACATAACAGGGGAACAACATGCACTGGGGCCTATTGGGGAGGGTGGGAAGAACAGTATCAGGAGGAATAGCTAATGGATGCTGGGCTTAATACCTAGACGATGGGTTGATCTATGCAGCAAACCATCATGGCACATGTTTACCTACAGATATGGTTAGGCTTTTGTGACCCCACCCAAATCTCATCTTAAATTGTAATCCTTATAATCCCCACATGTCAAGGGAGAGACCAGGTGGAGGTAACTGAATCATAGAAGTCATTTCCCCCATGCTGTTCTCATGATAGTGAGTTCTCACAATATCTTATGGTTTTATAAGGGGCTCTTCCCCTTTTGCTCAGCACTTTCCCTACCTGCCACCGTGTGAAGAAGGCATCTTGCTTCCCCTTCACCTTCCACCATGACTGTAAGTTTCCTGAAACCTCCCCAGACATGCTGACCTCTGAGTCAATTAAATCTCTTTCCTTTATAAATTACCCAGTCTTGGGTAGTTCTTTATAGCAGTATGAAAACAAACTAATATACCTACGTAACAAACGTGCATATCCTGCTTATGTACTCCAGAACTTAAAATAAAAGTTGAAGAAAAAAATAAAAAGGCAATTATAAAAATATTTATGCTAATAAATACAATAATAAATTTATAATAAACATTTTATATATATATATATATATATGAAATGTTTTCTAGGTGTCATATTTTAGCAGTGAAAATCTACAACAGCAGAAACCATGAAAGTATATTCTATAGTTTCTACCTAGCCTTGCTGATAAAGATTTCTGCCGACTAAAAAAATACAAAACAAAGAAGCGATTCTACACAATGTCTGAGCTATCTACAATTCCTTAGGTCTCATACATTAAAATAATAATAAAAAGAAACAGTGGAAGTGTACTGTACCTGGTATGAGCACATAAGGTTCACATTTGAAGTTAATCTGAGTCACATATGTGCTAAATGGATACTGTCTATATACACTGAGCAAACATCCCAAAGTGTGGTTAGTAGGTTTGTACATTATATCCTGACTTCAAAGAAAAGTATCCATTTGGAAGACTTTTAGGATAATATATAAAATAAAATTAAGCCTAGAGAGATACTGCACATAAACTGAATCATCAATATTTTGTGTATCTATTTTTCATCATTTGCCTTCTAGGATATGAAACAGCCTTAGACACTACAGGACGATTATTTAGATATAAAATAATACAGGCTAAAAATATTTTAATAATGTTCTTTTTACCATAAATTATTATCTTAAATATCTGGTATACCCATAGAAGTAACATTAACTAAATAAAGATAAAATTTAAAAGATAAAATGATCACTATTACTCTACTTCAAGCAGTCATTTGATAGCCTGCATATTAAGCTAATGCATGAGTCTGTTAGTGAATAGGTCATCCATGGAACTAACCAAGAACATTTTGAAATATCAGTTAACTATTACAGAATAATGTAATATATGTAGTACTATTCAACGGGTCTACTAACTCTAAATGAGTCATAAGAAGTAGAAGGGGGGAAATATGCAAACTGTTAAGCCTGGACACCAGTGGGTTTGGAACATTGTTTTTTACTGAAGTTGAACAGCACTGCTCTTCTTTAGCCTGCATGAGATCACAAAGTGGGAACACTGAAGAGGGTAGGTGGAGAGATCACAATGTAACAATGAAGTTACTGATTTCATCTGTTTTCATTATAATTCCATTTAGGAAAATATTTTTCAAAACTGGAATAGTGTAAGAAAGAACAATCACTATACATTAAATCTATAGAGGGGAGGAGGAATATCTATATTTAGATGTAGTAGAAAGAATCACAAAGGACCATACTAACAAACTATATTATATAAAATGTAAAGTCTTCTATTTGTAAAAAGATACCATAATAAAAAGACAAGCAATAAACTAGCAAAGTTACCTAATACAGCAGGTGAAAGATTAATTTCTATATATGTATAGCAATACATATACATGGAGAAAAGTAAAACAAAATTTTACAATGTATATATTTTTCTAAATTTGGCAAGGCTCTCACACAAATCTACAAAATAAATGCTGTACTTAAATAGATAAAAGACCAAAAGAAATGAAGAGAAAATAGAGAAGAAAGAAGACAACTAGTAAATATATGCAAAAAATGTTCAACCATACAAAAATCAAGGCATACATTAAGATAATATTTTATCTATAATATATCAATGAGTTGTAACAAATGAAGATATAGTAAAACTGTTACTCTCACATACTTCTGATAATTCATACCTCAGTGGTGATGACGCCAATAAGTATGGCTCTTTTGGAAAGTAATTAGTAGTGTACCTGAAAAGCTGTAAAAATGTTCACATTATTTGAACCACTAATATTATTTTTAGAACTCTATACTGAGAACATAACTTTAAACAAAGAAAAACCTACAATAATAAAGATGTTTGATTGTTAAATCACAGGAGAAAACCACTATGAAATAGTTGCATAATGGAAGATAACTGCATAGACACAAAAATTATAATTTAAAATTTTACTAGTGGTTATTACTTAGAAAAAGAATAATAACAGGCTTTAAATTTTTATATAGTAGTGCTTTTTAAAATTAAAAAAACGATTATTATATATTTTTAAAAAACCTAATTTTATAAAATTGATTTTAAGTTCAGTGAGGGCAGTGAATACTCAAAGATTATGAAAACAATTGAATGTTAAAATATACATAGGTGATAATGTTAAAGGAAAAGACATAAATATGAATACACAAAATAAATATTAAGTGGGAATATACTAGAACAAACTATATCAGAATATTAATAGTGTGTTAAGGTGGCGGTATTATGCATTTCTTCTTTCCCTATGATATAATTACATATGCAATGTCCATTATAAATGATATAAACTAACCTGAAGTGTATAAGAAGTAGAAGATAAAATAAGTTAATTACCTCTCTTTCATCCATATTCAACCACTGCTTTGGGTCTTCTTCAGTAGCCAGGAAGGCTATCAATTCTAAAGCAGTAAGACGAGTTTGACGTCTTGATGAGACAAATATCAAAACAGGTTTGGCTGGAGAATGGCTTCTAATTGCTGTTGAAAAGTTATGGGAAATAAAACGGAAAGCTACTTAACTCCAGAATATGAATTTCATTAGGGTATCAAATGGATAAATGAAAACTAATGATGTAAATGATTTAGGAATGAAATCTGGCATTATTGCAGGTACTACATAGATCTGGAAGCAGATTAGAGAGGTGATAGGAAAAGAAAGGCTGATGGCCCTACCTAGGGAGTATATTGCCTAGGACAGAAAAGATTTAATTATGCTGGGTGCAAGTTCTATTCTGAACTGCCAAGGAATGGAGAAACTTAAAGACTGAGACTCTCCACTTGGACATAAAGAGGGGCACATCACACACTGGGGTCCATTGGGGGGTGCTACAGGAGGGACAGTGGGAGGGAGGGTGGGGGGGATAACGTGGGAAGAAATGTCAGGTATAGGTGACGGGGGGATGGTGTCAACAAATCACCTTGCCATGAATGCACCTATGCAACAATCTTGCATGATCCACACATGTACCCCAGAATCTAAAGCACAATAATAAAAAGAAGAGCTATACATGGATACTTAAACTTAGATTTAGTTTTTTTGTGCCAAGTTGTGTTTCTCATCTATTTCCGTTTGCCTAAGTGGTGATATTACATAGTTAATGGGTCCTGGGGTCGAGTGAGAAAGTCAAGCCCCACCAGGCGATAAAAAATGTCTAGAAAGACCACAAAAACTTCCTTTTATTTTTGTTATTAGTAACAGAAAAATTAGGAGAGTCTGTACCAGTAAACAGGTTAAGAGAGAAATCAGAAGAAAGTTTTCCCTCTGCTTTTCTAAAAGCATATGTTCGGGAAGGGAAGACAGGAGAATGTAGAAGAAGGCTGAAGAGAATACCATGAATGAATAAATATCCGAGTAATGGGACATGGTAGTCAGCACAAAAAAGATGAGATGACTCTGGTTAATACAAACCCAAGTAACAAGACTGAATGAAATTTTGTAAATCAAACCTTTAAAAATAATTAAAGAGCCACATAAATCACTTGGCTTATCTGGGAATGAGGGTTTTTTCTGCTTTACATCAGCTACAAAAAGCTAATAAGATGCCACAAGTAGAATATATATTTATGTCCACAACTCTCTTAAAACAGTCAGAGATATTTAAAAATTGTATATAAAAAGTTCAACCTCTTTGCAATTTTTTGTTTGAAACGTGAGCTGCAGAATTTCTTTTTATGGGCTGGGAAACAAGGTTTATAATGGAAATGTTGACATGACCTTGACTTTATTTACACACTATGAGAAATAAAGCTATCACACAATCATATTTCTAAACTCAAAGAAATACAGTAATCACTACAGGTATAATAAACAGTTCATAAGTACAGCTGCTGTGCTGATACCATATCTACATAAGTGTAAGTATTTTAGTTATTGACTATTGATTTATATAACACAAAATGCTTTCTTTCCATCAATGGTGTGCAATCAGTCATTCCATATAGATATATGCAATTTCAACAATACATATAATGAAAAATAAACTCATTTATCTTATTTCTCACTTTTTATTATCAGAATATTATAGAATGTAAATGAGAAAGCTTTGATAAATCATATTAGAGATACACTGTTTAAAATACACATATTAGCACAATATTGGTATCATTTGGACACATAAATATAAATGGATCTCTGTCTTTCTTTAAACCTCAACATTTAATGGATTTTTGCTGCTGAAAGAACAGGTGTGGCCAAACAGCTCACGGCAGATTTATTGTTCATTAGTGATTTTGTACAATGCTTCTGTGGTGGTGTAAATAATCTGAACTGCCAAGATTGGTCTCTAGTTCACAATCAATACTTTGCTTCTGTCATAAGGCTAATTACAGCAGCTAAAAAGTCACCTCACAACTGTCACTACACAATCAACAGCAGTTCACATTTGAGAATTTATTTTTGAGGTTATTTTTAATTGATATAATAAATATTCTTTATGCAGCGCAAATAAAACATGTTTCAATAAAATAGGAGTGCTATTCTTAAATCTTTCCTGTTTGCCTAATTTGTTAGAAAAAGGAAAACTATAAACAGAAGCACTGTACTAACAGTGCTTAAACAGAAGTACTTAAATTTCTAAGTTTTATGATTTCTCATAAAAATTATGATTATGGTTTTGACTTGTAGCTTCTATTTCTCATTTGTTCAAGCTACTATCATAAAAACACTGATTAATATTAAGAAAAATCTAATACTTTTTTAAAATTACATACTTTTTTTTCCCCATTTATTTATTTTATTGCATTTTAGGTTTTGGGGTACATGTGAAGAACATGCAAGATTGTTACATAGGTACACACGTGGCAGTGTGATTTGCTGCCTTCCTTCCCATCACCTACATCTTGCATCTCTCCCCTTGCTATCTCTCCCCAGCTCCCCACCCCCCACTGTCCCTCCCCTATTTTCCCCCGACTGAACCCAGTGTGTAGTGCTTCCCTCCCTGTGTCCATGTGTTCTCATTGTTCAACACCCGCCTATGAGTGAGAACATGCAGTGTTTGATCTTCTGCTCTTCTGTCAGTTTCCTGAGAATGATGGTTTCCAGGTTCATCCATGCCCCTACGAAGGACCCAAACTCATCGTTTTTGATGGCTGCATAATATTCCATGGTGTACATGTGCCACATTTTCCCTGTCCAGTCTATCATCGATGGGCATTTGGGTTGGTTCCAGGTCTGTGCTATTGTAAACAGTGCTGCAATGAACATTCGTGTGCACGTGTGCTTATAGTAGAACAATTTGTAATCCTTTGGATATATACCCAGTAATGGGATTGCTGGGTCAAATGGAATTTCTATTTCTAGGTCCTTGTGGAATTGCCACACTGTCTTCCACAATGGTTGAACTAATTTACATTCCCACCAACAGTGTAAAAGCGTTCCTATTTCTCCTTAAATTACATACTTTTATTCCACTACAAATTCATTACCATTTGTGAAATCTCTCAAATTTTCAATAGGAAATTAAACATATATTTGAATTCCTTAACAGTTGTGACAGTTTTAGATATTTGTAGAAACTGGACCAGTATCATCGTTTCAAAGAGACCATCACCAATTAGAAGACATTTGATAGCTACCATAAATAATGGTTACTATTTTATTTCAAGAATCTGAAGCTTACCCTGAAATGCAGGCTTGTTCATACTAGCCATACGAGGACAATAATGTTGTCCTGGAAAGCCTTGAATGTGAACTTCCAGTGGAACTGGGCGTACTGACGGTCGGAAGTTAAACAAGCCCATCTAGGGTAAATATGAGAGAGAAACCATTTTCAATGTTTATATTGAGTTTTATAATGTTATAATATCTCTTTAAAGGAATCATCAAAGTCACACTACTAAATAACTGCATAATTTATCAATCTTCTACATACCTGCTTAATATTGAGCCAGTCAGCAAGGTCTCTGGCATTAGCTAATGCAGTAGATAGTCCAACTACTCTAACAGGCTTTTCTGTGTGTGATGAGATAAAATTTGTCCGAGATACAATGACCTCTAGAACAGGGCCTCTTTCTTCCCCTAGAAAATAGGAAAAAATAAATGTTAATCATTTAACAAGTCTGTGTTGGCCATTGCAACTACAAAACGAAAAGTTTGTAGCTTCCTCAAAAAAAAGCTAAACAGAGCTATCAAAGGATTCTGCAATCCCATTCCCAGTGAGTGACATTATTTAGATGTCGAATAAAAAAAATTGACCTCATGGAAATAAAGGGTAGAAACATGGTTACCAGAGTCTAGGAGCATGGGTTGGAGTCACAAGAGAAGGGAACAGAGAGACGGTGCTCAAGGGTACAATATTTCAGTTGGACAGGAAAAATACGTTTGTCAGATCGACTGTATAGCAAGCAGTGTGACAATGGTTAATAATAATATATTGTACATTTCAAAATTGCTAAATGATATTGTTTAGAACAATGCCCTGCCCAAACTGCATGTCAAACTGTAATCTCCAATGTTGGAGGTGGGGTCTGGTGGGAGGTGATAGGATCATGGGGGCAGTTTCTCCTGAATGGCTTATCATCATCCTCTTGGTGCTGTTCTCATGACAGTGAGTGAATTCTCATGAGATCTAGTTGTTTAAAAGTGTGTAGCGCCTCCCCCACCACTTCGCTCTCTTGCTCCTGCTCTTGCCATGTAAGAAGCTCTCTCCTGCTTTGCCTTTTGTCATGATTGAAAGCTTTCTGAGGCCTCCCCAGAAGCAGGAGCCACTAGGTTTACTCTACAGCCTGCAGAAACTTGAGCCAATTAGACTTATTTTAAAAAATAAATTACTCAGTCTTACTTTATGGCAATATAAGAACAGATAAATACAATAAAAGAAAATTTTTTTATGTTTCACCACAATTTATATGTAAGGTGACAGACATGTTAGCTTGATTTAATTAATACCACATCATATACATATATCAAAACATCACATTGTACCCCATAAATATATACAATCATTACATGCAAATTAAAAATAATACTAATAATTAATGTTTTAGTAACTTAAAGCTTGTAAACTGGCTTTAGATACAGTGGTACCTACCAAGAAGATGGATCTCATCTATGATGAGAATAGTGACTTGCTGAACATAGCTCCTATTTTGCCAGCTTCTGCTGACTCCATCCCACTTCTCTGGCGTAGTGACAATAAGGTCAGCCTTGGCAATGGATTTCATATCAGGAGTCACATCCCCTGTTAGTTCAATAACTCTGAAGGGATATAAAAATGATCTCAGAACCTTTTCAGGTAACAACCTTGGAAATGCAAAAACGTATCTCTTTTAAAACAAAATTTTATAAGGCTTAAAATTGCTTTATCTACCTTTGATTTCTAAAATTTTCCAAGTTGAGTCCAAAATGTACATTTCTTAAGAACTCTGAGAAAATTTCTTGCCATAAAATGGACATATAAATTCCAATCACTGACATATCTTTTATGCAGATATGCAAGGATATCAAAATTTGCTTTAAATATGTTTATAGACTCTCCATTCTAAGTGATTTCAAGGAAGTTAAACTCATACTTCCTGTCCCCAGGAATACAATTTTTTTAAATTGCATTTTAGGCTTTGGGGTACATGTGAAAAACATGCAAGATTGTTGCATAGGTACACACATGGCAGTGTGATTTGCTGCCTTCTTCCTCATCACCTATATCTGGCATTTCTCCCTATTTCTCCCTATGCTATCTCTCTCCAACTCCCCACCCCCCGCTGTCCCTCCCCTATTTCCCCCCCCAACACAGACCCCAGTGTGTGATGCTCTCCTCCCTGTGTCCATGTGAAGGAAAGTGCTACTTTGTGGAGACAAAAAAGGCATTCATTAAAGATATTTAGGATTATGTGCAAATTTAATTAAAATTATGTGTAATTTAGATTGTATGCAAGCTCATTTCTTTCCTTAGATTGGAATTTTCTGTAGATTTTATAGCCAAAATAAAATGTATTAGGATGAAAACAAGATAAGCCAGAGCAAATATGTACCAACTCAATCTAAGCCAATCACATTCATATAAGTGAGAGAAAAGGAAAAGAAAACCCTATGTAGATATACGGGAATTACCTAAGAATTTCTAATTACATAGGAATACCTCTAGGCTAATACCAAATTTTAAGTAATTACTAAAATATTTTTTTTTTTTTTTGAGACAGAGTCTCATTTTGTCACTAGATTAGAGTGCAGTGGCACAATCTCAGCTCACTGCAACCTCCGCCTCCTGGGTTCAAGCGAGTCTCCTGTCTCTGAGTAGCTAGGATTACAGGCATGCACCACCACTCCTGGCTACTTTTTGTATTTTTAGTAGAGACGGGGTTTTGCTATGCTGGCCAGGCTGATCTCGAACTCTGGACCTCAGGTGATCCACCTGCCTCAGCCTTCCAAAGTATCAAGGTTACAGGTGTGAGCCACCATATTCAGCTGAAAATAATTTCTAATCTGTGTTAAGGTTTGGAAAATAACAAAAAGGGCAAAACTGATTCCTCTAAGCATACTGTTCACAAAGTATGTTCTTATTCTTGTTTATTTTAAAGATTTACATTTTATATGTTATTTTGAATATGGAATACATTCATATGGTTTATCCCTGTCCTACAGACAGCTAGTTCTCATTCTGTAAAAAACACATATTCATACTCTTTATCATTTTGAAAAAACATAAGCTAGAATACTTTAAATTTTGTTTTGTTTTGTTTCGTTTTTTACATTATCTTTGAAGATCCTTCTTTTCATATACAAAAAACTCATTTTTTACAGTGATACAATATTTTCTATTGTGTGTACTATAATTTACTTGCTAAGGCTTTATTGGAAATTCCTTTCTCTGTAATTTTTGCTATTTAAAATAATGCTGCAATTAATAACCTTGTACTATATTGTTAATGAAAAAACCCCACATAATGTTTTTCAAAGAACTTCTGCTTTTACATAAATAATTTACATGCAAAATGCCTTCTAAGCAGTTTCTGGAAGTGGCTCTGTATATATGAAAAAATAGAGAGAGATTGTTTTTGTTTTTAGAATGAAAATATTTTGAAAAAGTTATCTTGCCAAATAAAAGTACTCACATTAAGTAATTTAGGAGATTTCATTTTTCAATCTTAAAAAAATGAGAATATTGATATAATTTTAATGGTAGGAACATATCTTTAAAGACTATGAAATCATTGTAAAACCATTCAACAGTTTTATTCAACTCTTATTTCCTGGTCCTTTTAGAAAAATCAAAACATACCTTTTGAGTAAAGGTAAGAACTTACTTTTTACCAAGTTTTTCTTCTATTCTAACTTTCCAATCATCCATTCTTTCACGTACCAGGGCTTTTAGGGGTGCAATATATACCGCCTAAAAAGGGGAGAATAGCCAAAAATACTCTCAAGAAAATAGTGACAGTATTTTCAAATAAAAGTACACTCCAAAATTTTGTCAAAATATGACAGTGTGGTTTTAAAATGTATCTTTTAATTCTGAATACTCCAATTTTTGAATCAATGTGAAAAAGTCATTAACTTAAACTACATTTATCCAAAATAAGACAGAAATGTAACACATCACAAACTTTCTCATCATAAAAAATATTAACGTAGATGAATTTAAATTACATTTTTTAAAGCATCAGAGATATTTTCCTTAGGCATTTTACTATAAAATTATATTCTACATAATAAGAACAAATAAACAAATTATGAGATAACAAGAGAAAATTAGGGGTCTGATGAAAATAATGTTTTTTCTAGTATTATAAATATTTATGAGTTATATGCAATTCATGAAAAAATGTTGAAGTTTTGAAGAGAAATAAACTATTCTTTAAATTTTAATACAGATTTTATGAAGATGCTAGTAATACACTTTAGGTGTTAAAAAATAAATAAAATAAAAGCTGGTCTTTAGTAATCCAAACCTATATAAAATTTATTCCCTTTATAAAATGTTTCTAACTTAGAGTAGAGCTCTACTGTTATATTTGTCTCTAGAGTACGATAACCACATATTAGAGAGACTGAAAAGTAGGAAAACAGGATTAAGTAGGGAAGAAAAGTCACTAATTGGAAATTACTACAAAAGGATGTTAAAACATTTCTGAAACCATAAACTATGAAGAAACTAGCCCATAATTCCAATCACAACAACTCTGTAATATTTCTATTTTAATGTGATGTACTCACAAAATTTAGAACAAGAAAACTCTAAAGACTATATTAAAAAAACTGCTAGAATAAGCAAATTCAATATGGTTGAAGGATACAAATCAACATATATAAACCAGTAGAATATATACTATTAGCAAACTATCAAAAAAGTCAAGAAAACAGTCCCACTTACAATAGCATCAAAAAGAATACAGTACTTAGGAATAAATTTAACTAAAGAGGTGAAAAATCTGTACACTGAAAACTATAAAACATTGAAAAGAAACTGCAGGAAACACAAAGAAATAGAAAGATTATCCCATGTTCATGGATTGGAATAATTAGTATTGTTGAAATGGTCATACAACCCAGAGCAATCTATAGTTTAAATGCAATCCTTATCAGAATTCCAATGGCATTTTTCACAGAAACAGAAAAAAAAATCCTAAAATTCGAAAGAAACTACAGAGACTGTGAATAGCCAAAGCAATTTTAAGAAAGAAAACCAGTCAGAGGCATCACATTTCCTAGTTTCAATTTATATTATAAAGCTACAGTAATCATAACAATATGGAAATATGGAACTGACATAAAAAGCGACATATAGACCAGTGGAACAGAATAGAAAGCCCAGAAATCAACCCACACATAGAAGGTCAACTAATCTTCAACATGGGCCTGAAGCACACATACAAGAAGGAAACGATATTCTCTTCAATAAATGGGGTGGGAAGACTGTATATTCACAAGTAAAAGAATGAAACTAGACTACTGCCATACACCATATAGAAAAATTAACTCACAATGAATTAAAGAATTAACTGTAAGATCTAAAACCACAAAATTCTTAGAAGAAAACATAAGAAAAAAGCTCCTCAATGTTGGTCTTTCAAAAGCAAATATAAACAAATAGGTATACAACAAATTAAAAAGCTTTTACACAGAAAATAAATAAAATAAATACATAAAATCAACAGAGACAATGTGAAATGAAAGAAATGACAAAACGAAAAAAAGAATTGCAAACCATATACATTAGTTCTGCCTTAGTGGCTTCCTTTTCATTGCTTCAAGTTACTTGTAGTCAATTGTGGTCCAAAAAAAATTAAATAAAAAATTCTAAAAATAATTAATAAGTTTTTTTTTTTTTTTTTTTTTTGAGACAGAGTTTCGCTCTTGTTACCCAGGCTGGAGTGCAATGGCGCGATCTCGGCTCACCACAACCTCCGCCTCCTGGGTTCAGGCAATTCTCCTGCCTCAGCCTCCTGAGTAGCTGGGATTACAGGCATGCGCCACCACGCCCAGCTAATTTTTTGTATTTTTAGTAGAGGCGGGGTTTCACCTTGTTGACCAGGATGGTCTCCATACCTTGACCTCGTGATCCACCTGCCTCGGCCTCCCAAAGTGCTGGGATTACAGGCGTGAGCCACCGCGCCCGGCCAATTAATAAGTTTTAAGTTATGTTCCCTTCTAAGTAGCATGATGGAATCTCACACTGTTCCACTCAATTCAGCCTGGAACATGAATCATCCCTTTGTCCAGAGTATTTAGGCTGTAGCCACTACCCAACCATTAGTCATTAACCATCTTGTTTACCAGAAACACTGTGGCAGTATCACAGTGCTTACATTCAAGTAACCCTTACCTTATTTAGTAATGACCCCAAAGCATAAGAGTAGTGATGCTGACAATTTGAATTTGGCAAAGAGAAGACATAAAGTGTTTGAAGTGACAAGGTGAAAGTTCTTGACTTAAGAAAAGAAAAAAAAACCATATGCTGGGGTCACTAAGATCTATGTTAAGAACAAACTTTCTATTTGTAAAATCATGAAGTAGGAAAAGGAAATTTGTGCCAGTTTTGATGTTGCACCTTAAAAACTGCAAAAATTATGGCCCCCGTACGTGATAAGTGCTTAGTTAAAATGGAAAATGTATTAAATTTGTGGGTGGAAAACATGAATGAAAATGTGGTTTTTAACTTTTAAGACATTTTTCTTAAGCACATATTTATAAAGGACTTAGTACTGTACTACTGTGTACCATTTCTTTTTCTTAACGTTTTGTTTTTACTTGACGTATAATAATTGCACATATTTATGGGATACATAGTGATGTTTTGATACATAAAATGCATAGTGATCAGATCAGGGTAATTAGCATATCTCTCATCTCAAACATTTATCATTTCTTTATGTTGGGAACCTTCAATATCCTTCTAGCTATCTGAAACCATATTACATATTATTGTTAACTATAGTACTTCTACAGTGATATACAACACTAGAACTTACTCCTTCTATCCAGCTGTAATTTTGCATCCTTTACCAATTATTTCCTTATTCCTTCCTTCCCCCTACCCAACTGGGTTCAGTACCATTGGATTCAGGCATCCATCTGGGTTTCGGAATGTATCACCCAAGAATAAGCGGGGACTATGTATCTGATAAAAAGTTACAATCCAAAATAGAAATTTACACAACTCAATAGCAGATAAACCCAAATAATTCTATTAAAAATGGGCTAAAGATCTGAACATATACGTTTTTCAAAAGAAAACACATACATAGTCAATGGATACATGAAAAGGTACTCAACATAAATAACCATCAAGGAAATGCAAATTAAAATTACAATAAGATATCAATTACACCTGTTAAAATGGTTATTATCAAAAGACAAAAGACAGCCAGGCATGTGGCACAAACCTATAGTCCCAGCTACTCAAGAGGCTGAGGTAGAAGGCTCGCTTAAGCCCAGAAGTTAAAGGCCAGTCTAGGCAACACAGTGAGACTCTATTTCTACTTAAAAAAAAAAAAAAGATGAAAGAAAAAATATAAAAAACATAACACATATAGTTGTTATGGTACACGATTGGTGACAATGTAAATTGTATAGCCATTATGGAAGACAATCTGGAGTTTTTTTTTAAAAATTAAGCATAGGACTATCCAGCAATCCCAAAGGAAATGAGATCAGTATCTCAAAGACATATATCCAAAGGAAATGAGATCAGTATCTCAAAGAAATATCTGCACTCCCATGTTCACTGTAGCTTTACTTAGAATAGCCAAGGTATGGAAATGAACTAAAGTGTCTCAAGATGGATAAAGAAATTGTGGTATCTACACACACACACAGACACACACACACACACACACACACACAATGAAATATTATTCGGCTTTAAAGACGAAAAAAATTTTGCCATTTTAAACAATATAGATAAACCCAGAGGACATTATGTTAAGTGAAATAAGCCAGACATAGAAAGAAAAATACTGCATAATTTCACTTATACCTGGAATTTTTAAAAGTTGTATTCAGAGGAGGAAACAGTAGAATACTGGTTACCAGGGGTGAGGAAGGGGGAATGAGGAGATACTGGTCAACAGGTATAAAGTTTCTTTTATGGTGAATGAATAAGTACTAGACACCTAATACACAGCATGGTGATTATAGTTAATAGTACTCCATCATATACTTGAAATTTGCTAAGAGAATAGATTTTATGTGTTCTCACCAAAAAAAAGATAACTATTTGAAGGATGATACACTAATTACCTTGATTGTAGTAATCATTTGACAATGTATGTCAAAACATCACATTGTACATCTTAAATATACATAATTTTTATTAAAAATAACAAATACTAGGAAAGAGTTAAAAAATTATGCTTCAAGAAAGCCTTGAAGCAATCCTTATTTGACTTGTAATGTTATTTAATATTAATTAACAATATTGTGGCCATCTGTAGAAAGGTCATTTAAAAGCTACCCTATATTTAATATGTACAATCAAACTACATTTATTAAAGCACTAGCATTATCTTCATATAGAAAATATTTGATTATGAATTATTTTGTATTATTTAACTTGGTCCATGAAGTAGGTTTGTCCTAGTGAAATTACCTATGAAATGTAGAAATCTTACAATGAGGAAAGGATGTGTGTGTGTCACTATGTACATTAGAAATTTAATTGGAGGACTACAAAGTTTAAAGTAAACTTTGTGGTGCAAATTATCCTAATATAGGCAAATCTAATGTTGTGCAAATCATCCTAATATAGGCAAATCTAATGTTACTGCACTTTGTAGATATCGTTTTTTACAAATTGGAGATTTGTGGCAACCCTGCATAGAGCAACTCTATCAATAGCAATTCTATCGATTTTTCCAACAGCATGTGCTCACTTCATGCCTCTGTTACATTTTGGTAATTCTACCAATATTTCAAACTATTTCTTTATTATTATATCAGTTACAATGACCTGTGGTCAGTGATCTTTGATGTTATCTTGTACTTGGTGTGTAGTATCGTGAACTACACCATATAAGATGACAAATGTAATTGGTAAGAGTGTGTGTTCTAACTTCTCCACTGACCAGCTATTCTCCCATGTCTTTCCTTCTCCTCAGGCCTCCTTCTTCCCCAAGACACAACAATATTGAAATCAAGTCACTTACTAAACCTGTAATAGCCTCTATGTGTTCAAGTGAAAGGAAGAGTTGCATGTCTCTCACTTTAAATAAAAAGCTAGAAATGATTAAGCTTAGGGAGGAAGGCATGTGGAAAGCCGACACAGGCCAAAAGCTAGGCCTCTTAATACCAGGGAATTAGCCAAGTTTTCAATGCAAAGAAAAAGTTAGTGAAGGAAATGAAAAGCGCTACTTCACTGAACACATGAATGATAAGAAAGTGAAACAGCTTTATTCCTGATATGGAGAAAGTTGGAGTGAAGATCAAAACAACCACAATGTTTCCATAAGCTAATGTCTACTCTACAGCAAGGCCCAAATTCTCTTCAATTCTGTGAAGACTGAGAGAGGTGAGGATGCTCCAGAAGAAAAGTTTGAAGCTTGTTTCACAAGGTTTAAAGAAATAAGCCATCTCTGTAATATAAAGTGCAAGGTGAAGCAGCAAGTGCTGATGTGGAAGCTGCAACAAGCTATGTAGATAATATAGCTAAGATAATTGATGAAGGCAGCTACACTAAACAACAGAGTTTTAATGTATACAAAATAACTAATATTGGAAGAGGATGCCATCAAAGACTTTCACAGGTAGAGACGTCAATGCCTGGCTTCAAAGCTTCAAGGAGAACCTAACTTTATTATTATGGAATAATGCAACTGGTGACTTGAAGTTGAAGCCAATGATCATTCACAATTCTAAAAACCCTGCAGTCCTTAAGAATTATGTTGAATCGCCTCTGCCTGTGCTCTATAAATGAAACAACAAAGCCTGGATGACAGCATGTCTACTAAAGAGCATGGTTTACTGAATATTTTAAGCCCACTGTTGAGAGCTACTACTTAGAAAAAAGATTCGTTTCAAAATGTGACTGCTCACTGACAATGCATCTGGTCACTCCAGAGCTTTGACTGAGATGTACAAAGAGATGAATATTGTTTTCATGCCTGCTAACATAAGACATATTCTGCACCCCATGGATCTAGGGGTAAATTTGGCTTTCTTATCTTATTACTTAAGAAATATATTTCATAAAACTATAGCTACCATACATAGTGATTCCTGTGGTGGACCTGGGCAGAGTAAATTGAAAACCTTCTGTAAAGAATTCACCATTCTAGATGCCATTAAGAACACTGATGATTCTTGGGAGGAGGTCAAAATATCAACCTTAACAGGAGTTTGAAAGAAGTTGATTCCACTCCTCATGGATGACTGAGAGGTTCAAGACCCCTGCAGATGTGGTGGAAAAGGAAAGGGAACTAGAATTAGAAGTGGAGCCTGAAGATATAACTGAAATGTTACAATCTCATGAAAAAATGAACAGATGAGGAGTTGCTTCTTATGGATGAACAAAGAAAAGGTGTTTCTTAAAACAGAATCTACTGATGACAAAGATGCTGTGAATATTGCTGACATGACAATAAGGATTTAGAATATTATATAAACTTAGTTCATAAAGCAGTGGCAGGGTTTGAGGGGGTTGACTCATTTTGAAGGATGTTCTATTGTGGGTAAAATGCTATCAGGTGGCATCACATGCTACAGAAAAGCTTTCATGAAAGGAAGAGTCAGTCAGTGTGGCAAACTTCATTGTTGTCTTATTTTAAGAAATTGCCACAGCTACCCCAACCTTCAGTAGCCACCATCAGGATCAGTCAGCTGCCATCAACATTGAGGCAAAGCCCTTCACTAGCAAAAAGATTAGGGCTCACTAAAGGCTCAGATGATTGATGGTACTTTTTTGTAATAAAGTATTTTCAAATGTAGTTATGTGCACTTTTTTACACATAACACTATTGCACACTTAATTGGCTACAGTTACATATAAACAGAATTTTTATATACACTGGGAATCCAAAAAATTTGTGTGATTTACTTTATAGTGACATTCACTATATTGTGATAATATGTAACTAAACTCATGATATCTTCACGGTATACCTGTACTGATCTGGTCCCCTAGGAAATTCACTGAGAGTGACAAATCTATTCAATGGACCCTGCTAATATATTTAGAACTGTCTAGTTTAGAGATTATGAACTGTCTTTTCTAATTAAATGTAAGCATATGATTCTTTCAACAGACCTTTGAAGTAGGGTATTTGTTGAAGACTCTGAAAATGGCTAATTCAGCTGCAACAGTCTTGCCCGATCCAGTAGGTGCTCCAAGTAGGACATTACAATCTGTGTGATACAGTGTATGAAATATTTGTGTCTGCACAGGGTTAAAGTGGCTGAAGTTGTACAGGGCTTCATATGCTTTACATCCCAAAGCTGTGATCGGTAAAGGCTGAAGATCCAGTAATTCTGAAAAGACCCAACAGGTATGGCTATATAATAATTGAAAAACATGTACAATACTGAATATTATATTATAAATAATAGCTTATAGCAATCCTTAGCTCCTTAGACAGCGAAAAAATGCTTAACACAAATTCTTATATACCCATTACAGATCTGGTATAGCAACAAATATGTCACACAAATAACCACAGTTATCATACTGACATACTAGATACTCTTCTGGGGGAGTGTCCTACATGCTAACAATAATGCTATATTCTTTTTGTTTTGTCAATCAGAAAAGTAATTTGAATAACAACTGATAGATGTTATAGAACAAAACCTAAATCTGCCCCAATTGGTAAAAAAAATTAAAACCATTTGCAGGCTTCAACAATGAAATGGTTACTATCAAGAAATTACTTTTGTTATGCTAGACACTGACCAAGCAAGAGTAGCTGAGTGAACTCTTATTGTCAATGGAAAGTAAAATGAATTTAGGATAATTCCAGGTAAAAAAATTGGGTGGGAGTTTTAAAGCAAAGTGCGACTGAGTAAACAAAAACTGCCCTGAGAAAACCTAGAAACTAGAATTAGTTGTTTCTTATTACGTGGATGGGGGCCTAGGGAATTGGAATCATAAAATGATTTAGAGAAACAGTTATACACCCTTGAGTTCGACAGACCTTATATTTTGCATAATCCAGAAAGGTATCAGTTAGAAAACAAGAAGGCATCTTTACTCTCAAGATTATTTCATGCAAGATAAATTTCACTCGTTTGAAATTTGAACATGAAGAAGAAATAATCTGTAAGGGAACACAGTAGCCTGTACCTTGAGTTAGATCTTCACATTACTGTTTCAAAATGGAAGTATGGCTAATTTTCTTCTTAAAAAATGTACTTAAAAGTCAAAAAGTTAATTCAAAATATTATCCTTTCTCTACCGCCCAATTCAATTACATAGGTAACTGAGGGCTAAAACATTCTTTCTATACCAGACTACAAGTTTCTTAAATTTTCTGAAGCACTAAAAATTCAGGCCGGGAGTGGTGACTCACACCTGTAATCCTAGCACTTTGAGAGGCTGAGGTGGGTGGATCACCTGAGGTCAGGAGTTCAAGACCGGCCAACATGGTGAAACCCCGTCTCTACTAAAAATACATAAATTAGCTGAGTGTGGTGGCAGGCGCCTGTATACCATCTTGAAGATTACCACATACCCCTTACAATGTTAGGGCAGAGGGATAAAACTAATATAAAGGTATATGTTATTTGCAGGACACAAACTCCCTTAAGGTATATGGAAATCCATTCCATAGTGATACCACAATATGCTTCCTTAATATTAGCTGCTTCTTCTTCTTCTTCTTATTATTATTATTTGGTGTAGAAACACAAAAGGTGGGGGGAAAATCCCCATAACTCACTGGTATGTTAGTTAATTTAACACACTAGAAATAAGTTTAAGTAAACTGAAATAAGTGCAAGGGAGAAAATACAAATTTTACAGAGAGCACAGAATAAATGATGACTGACATTTGAAATAAAAAGGGAGTTATAGAAAAGTTATAATAATTATGAGTAAAACTTTAAGGCATAGACATTTTTCAACATTAATTAAAATAACCATTTTGGAAAATCAATGATTCAAATCAGCATTCACTATGTTACCTGTATGGGGAGGATGTCTCTCTGGTAGAATTAGATGTTGAAAGTTGATAATACATACTGCCTCAGCACCCAACCATCTATCAGACACTGCACGGATGTAGTATTGGGAAGGCAAAGGCTCAAAAATAGGGATTGTAAATACCAGTAGTTGAGCTTCTTTACTAATGACCTAATATGAAATAAAGTCTGAAATAAATATGGATATTCTAATAGTATAAAGGCCATAAGAGTCTATTGTCAAGATAACTCTATCTATATAAGATGTAGATAATGGTATCTCTACAAGATATACTAAAGACAAAGTATCTTGAATTTCTAAATAGCTGAGATATTCAGGTACTTCAGACACTTGTGCATGGTTCCCTTCTGAGGATACTTGATAGAGGTAAAACTTTATGCCCAACCTATATTATTTACATATGCATATCATCATGCATTAACAAGTTACCAATTTGACTACCTGAATTTCCTAAACATCATGCATTCAATTATGAAACTACAAGATTTTTACCATACCCAATTACCATATTATTTACTTAATATTTTTAAGTTCTATCAGTACCTAAAGTGGAATACCAGAATCACTTGGTGTGAATAGAAGGTAACCAAGAAGACAAATGCAATGAATACAAAACACTGCTATAAAATTCTACTGTTGCCTACCCAAGACTCTTACCTGAAGCTTGTTTTCTCTTTGATAAAAACAGAAATTACAAATGAGGCATCATTTAAAGAAATACCATCAAATTGAGTCTTTGTCTTGTGATTTATAAAAATTTTAGAAGAAATACTCTTTTAATTTTCAATATTATTCAGTATTTTGTACATGTGACTCTTAAAATTATTATTTATCCTACCTGCTTTACATATTCCACACCTCTGGAACCCATGTCTTAAACCATGGTAAAGATTATGTAGTCATGCATTGCTTACTGACAGGAACAGTTCTGAACAATGTGTCATTAGGCAATTTCATCTTAAGAACTTCATAGTGTACACAGACAAACCAGATGGTATAGCCCCCAAACATCTACGCTATATGGCATAGCCTATTGCTCCTATATAGCATGTTATTATACAGCATGTTACTGTATTTAATACTTTAGGCAATTATAACACAATGGTACTTATCTATCTAAACATATTTAAACATAGAAGAAGTAGGTGAAAATATAGTATTATAATCTTATGAGATCACTATTGTATGGTTTTGTATGTTATCCATTGATCACTGAAATGTCAATATGTGGGTCATGACTGGTAACTGAATTTCTTAAACCAGGATAACACTGAATATACCAATACTACAACATTTAATCACTGTGTTTTAAAACTAACAGAAAACCAATACATAAAATAAAGTTTTAATGGCACTATGAAATTACAGAGAAATAATATAAAAGCAGAAACTGTTAGTATAATTTCTTTCTTTCTTTTTTTTTTTTTTTTTTTTTTTGAGACAGAGTCTCGCTCTGTCACCCAGGCTAGAGTGCAGTGGCATGATCTTGGCTCACTGCAACTTCCATCTCCTGGGTTGAAGCAACTCTCCTACCTCAGTCTCCTGAGTAGCTGGGATTATATGTTCCTGCCACCATGCCCAGCTAATTTTTGTATTTTTAGTAGAGACGGGGTTTCACCATGTTGGCCAGGATCTTCTTGAACTCCTGACCTCAGGCAATCTGCCCACCTTGGCCTTCCAAAGTGCTGGGATTACAGGTGTGAGCCACTGCGCCCAGACAATACAAATTTATTTTTACCATAGCAAAATACTAAGAATATGTTCACATATATACACTTACTTGTTTTTTTAGAGCTAGAAAATACTCCGAATGATAAATATGATCATTTGTAGGATCTTCTACCCAAATCCACCAGGGTTCTCCCACTGTCCCATGTACCTAGAAGAAAAATAGTATCCTACTACTGTGCATATAGTAACTCAAATAAGGGACAGCATCCAATCGTCTCACTCTAGAAGCTTTATTGATATATAAACATTTAAAGTATACTCATTTAAACATTTAAACATTTAAAGTATACAGTTTACTCATTTAAACATTTAAAGTATACACTTAAATGATTTTAATGTATTTACAAAGTTGTACAACCATCACCATAATCTAATTTCAGAACATTTTCACCACCCCAAAAAGAAATCTTTTACCCCTTAGCAGTCACTACCTATTCCTTACAGATTTGTCTATTCTGTAAATTTCAATAAAATAAAATAATATAATATGCAGTCTTTTGTGACCAGATTTTTTAATTTACCATAATGGTTTCACAGTTCATCTATGTTTTAGCATGCACAGTTCATCTATGTTTTAGTATGTTTAGTACTTTCATTCCTTTTTATTGTCTAATAATATTCCATTGGACAGATATGCTGCATTTTGTTTCTCCATTTCAATGTGTGTGTCTTTCTCTCTGATGCCTGCAAAACCGAGCCTTGTTCAGCATGCATCTCTTCCTCATGTGACTCAAGAAAAAGTGACCACATTCCCTGGGATAAATTTGATTGGCATAGTTAATCAGTTCATGGGATTTCCCTTGACAACCACTGTAATAAAGTGGACGCATATGACAAATACTGGCCCAATTAGACTGAAGAAAAGGTCTTATGGTCCATGCTCTGGGCTGCAGAACTGGGGATGTTTCCCATGCTCTATTTAATGCTAACAGTAAATCTTGAAAACATTTGAGAAGTATCCAAAAGTGTCAGCAGAGAAAATGGGTAGAAAGTTCCTGGTTCTTGAATGGCATCTTTAAACAGAAGACTCAACCATCTTTAAGGCCTATTCTACCTGTGGAGCTTTTATTACACAGGATAATATACTTTCTTGCGTAACTCAGTTTGAGGCAACTCAAGTTTTCCATTTTGAAGCCAATAGCATTGTGCCTGACAGAGTTAACTATAAAAATAATTAAGTACTCTCTCTTACTAATAAATCAAACTGCAGATTTATCACAGGTATTGTTAGAAGTAGACAGTTGAAATATGAAACTTCGACTCATTTAAAAAATAGTCTATTAAAAATAAAATTTCAAATGTGAGTTTATGGGTAACTATAAATTTATATTTATTAAAACTTTTTATCTATAGAAATATTAAATACAATTTTGTATCATCTAGTCCCAAAGGAAATGTATCACCTGGTCCCAATGGTAAAAAAGATTATTATTATTATTATCATACATGTTTATAGCTGAGGAAACTAAAGGAATGAAAGGTTTAGATACTTTGAGACCAACGTAGAATTGGGTTAGGACAATGGTTGGGTAATTTTAGAGCATACTGTTAAATGAAATTCGTTCACATTAAAGATATAGAAACATCAGGTAATGCAAAAGATACTTACCCACAGTTAATTGGAACTTTACAATAACATGTGAAATGGGTACTGCTATACTGTACTTAGTGATTTACTTGTTTTCTCCAATTGGCTTTCAAAGTAAAAACCTAGTCTCACTTGCCTTTGTACCTACAATCTCTAAATAGTAACTGATACAAAAACAGATCTTAAAAACTGTTGCTTGAATAAAAAGAGGATCTGGTATGAATCTTTATATACATAATAACATCTAACCCAGAGGAAGAAAGAATAAAAACAAAATCATGATGGAAATCAAGGATGGACATTTTGAAAGACTGTATAGCGCTAAATATCAGAGAAGTAAAGAAAATAACTGAGAAAATTTATTTATTATGGCAACCCATTAGTCTTTGGAGATCACTGAGGAAATAGTCTCAGTAAGAAAGAAACAGGTGATCAGGAGGAAAATACAGAATACTTTTTCTGCAAGTCTAAAAGAAGAAGATAGAACTAATATAGCAAAGTACCTATGGAGTTAAATTCACTAGTCTGTTGTTCATTGTTGAAATTTTAGGATTCCTAAACATTTTGAAGGAATCTCATTGGTTGACATAGTACTAATATACTAGATTTTTGTTTAGGATGAGTGTACATATTGCTATGTTTTTAATAAATCCTCAATATGTATTCTTTTTAGAGGATTTTCTATATGCCTTAGGAACAGATGTAGAGAGATATAGTTGAGTCTGTAGTACAGACATTTTTGTTTAACACAGATATAGACATTTTCCACTTCTACCTGATCATTCCAAGTGAAATCAGGATAGATGCTGAGTGTCACTCGGAGGACAGTCCTTGTGATGGGCTGAATGGATGCTTCCATCATAACAGAAGGAATCTGATGAACACATTGTTTGACCTTCAGTCCAATATTCACATGATGCAAAATGTGACCTGCAAGAAAAATATCACATAGAAGAAATGTGTCCAGGCAGAAAGAAGCAATATAATCTGACTTGTAAATGGGATTTCAGAGAAGGTAATTTTATTGCTTGTTTTATGATTTGCTATGTAGAATAGCTGACATTCTTGACCTGGCATGTTTGAATATTTTGTAATAGTTAACTTGAATTAGTAATTCACAGATCTTAAAGTCAGTATCAAGGTTTCTTTAGCTATTAATAGGGTTCTTAAAATTACTGAGACTTGATAATGTTTAAACTACTATAAACAGACTCAATTCTTTCTTAGTTTATGATACAATGTAAAAATATTTAGTATTTTGTGAAAAGTCATTAATTTATTCAGAGTCTATTTCAGAACTCCATAACTACAACTTCAGTAATCAAATGCAACTTACCCAGCTATGCCCATTCCCAGGAAACATAAAGATAAAATATAAAATATGGTCAATCTAGCACAAAATTAACCACTTATACATATTTTAATAAGTTATCAGATTTTGGAATATGGATATTTATGGAAGGGCTGATGGGGGGTGTAACAAATAAAAGTTACTAACTGTAAGTATTTTTCTACTCTAGTCAGAGCAACTAAGTGAAAATAGAATGTATTTTATAGCATCAAGATTTCCTGTATGTCTTGATTCTTCAAGGAATTTTTTTAAAAGTACACTTATTAATAAATCAAAATATTTTATGCCTATCCAAATTTGAACTAAAGTTGATCTTCCTTATTTTGATAAAATATTTACATGTTACTCCAATGTAAGTACCCTTAATTTCCCTTATTAATAATCCCAGTTTTCCTGTTTGATACTTCCTTCTTCCACTTTATCATAGAAGTATTTTTCCTACTAGTATAATAATTATCTTAGCCTCTCTTCACATCTTTGGGCTTCTTGCTGACAGTAATCTTCCCTTTCATTCTTCTTCAGCCTGATTCCTTTCATGTGTAATATTTGTTTCACTCAGAAAAAAATACTGCCTAATCAATTCATTGTATATTTGTCCAAGAGAATGTTAGGATACATGAAGATATATACATAGGAGTAAAATATTATATATTTTGTAATACATATTTTTATATGTAACATATTTCTTGTAATACATATTTTTTTACAAAACATTTTACTATATAAAAGAAGGCAGAACACCAAATGCTGTGTACACATTGATACCAACTGGGTTTAAAGACATATATGGATGTAATGAAATTCATTCAGAAACTCTGGAAACATGTTGAGCTCTATGTTCACATAATTTATTGCTGTAATACTGCTGATATAACAAAAGACTTTGAAAAGAATATTTTAAAAAACTGAGAGTGAACATCATTGAATAACTTTCATTATTTATAGCTAAGATTCCATGTACAAAATAGTAAACTTAAGAGTTTGACAATATAAATGCCGTTGTAATTGCTAATTCTGTCAAATAATTTCAAAAAACATGAAGACATTGTTGCTTGATTTTAGATAAATGAGAAAGATTTATAAATATGGTAAAAATTTTATTTGGAAATTCACAATACCTTCTTTCACATCTAGCAACACATTTTTTTTTGCACAAAATAATATATTCAAACATTTTTGCTTCCTTCTTACCTATTTCATCTTTCCTCATGTCCTTCAGCTTATCCACAGTAAGCTTTTTTTCTTCTAATCTTGTTAGGATATGTGGTGGTAGAACTGAAAATTGTCTCAAAGGGCTAGCCCAACCCCAAAGCCTCTTGTCAATGACTTTACTAAGATTCAGGAGCCTGTAGGTCATGGCAGGCCAACGTTTCCTGAGAGCAATTTCAAAAAGAGCACGGACAATTCTAGCTGCATTCTAAAAAATAATAGGGGGAGATTGGTCGTTATAGTCAATGTGCTTTTAAATTTGTCAATAAATTTGTTATTCAAACTCAATCTCAGAAGTGCAAGTCAAGCTGCATCCTTGAATCATGTGGCAATATTTTTTGTCATATAATCCTAATCATTCTTATTATTTCTACATAAAAATAATCCATCCTTTATATGTGGATGCTACTTGCTTACTTCTCAGATGGGAAGCCTTATTTCTAAGTTCTTAGAAAGCTCCACCGTGTAAACAGAAATGAAGTAGGAAAAGACAAAAGGGATGCAAAATATTTAGTAGGCTACTGAGGCATCTGACTATAAGAGACAAGTAAAGATGCCTCCTGGTATATAGCGGAATGATTAAATTTACAAAGCTATTTAGAGAATTAAGAAAGACTAGGATCCATTCAGGGAAAAAAAAATAATGAGAGAAGGGTAACAAATGAAATACTGATTAGTGCAGCTACTCAGATGAAAGAGTCATATTAATGGCTTCCTATAAACCAAACAATGTGTTAACCTGCTTTATATATATTGCCTCATTTAATTTTTATAAAAACTGCATTTAATTGACATTGATATTATGATTTTATAGATGAAGATATTAGGGCTTAAAGAGGTAAAAAACTTGACCAAGGTCACACAGCTAGTTGGTGTCACCACATGTACTCAAAGCCAGGACTAAAGTTCTCCAAATATGACTAACATTCTAGACTCAGTAGTCTGAGGATAACTTCATTAATAGACATATAGAAAGTTATAATTAATGTAGCCTTTTTTTTCATCACATTTCTACAGCTAGCTCCCATTTATTTGGCCTCCACTCCTTTATCACTATCACTCACTTTATCACTTTGCAGATTGTTTTATTAAAGATTGTTTTTAAAACAATAAACTTAAAAATACCTTCTAATATCTAATAACACCTGCATTTGAAAATAAAGAATGTTCAGTCTGGTTAAAATGTAAACAAGAGATACAAAACAGTAGAGATTTCAAATGACAGACAAATAAACAATCCAGCCTAAAATTATGAGGTAAAAAATGACCAGATGAGTTAAGGGCTTTTGTTTTACATTATATAAGATATGCATTTGTCTTTAGACAAATTTGACTATTTTGTTTAGAAACTAAAGTACAAAATCGTAGATAGAAGTATGAGGGCAGTTCTGATATCCATTAAAAATGACTGAACAGATCTTTATAAGGCCCAGAGAATAATAAATAAAATTTTTATTATTGTATCTATCAATTATGTTTTCCTACCCCATTCCTATTTGTTCTGATAAACAAAAACTATCAAGGTGAATTTTCCCAACTTTCTTTGAAAGTGTGTCATTTTAATATTTCAGAATCTACAGTTGTCCCCTCAAAGCTAAAAGAAGTAGGAGAGATTCCATATGAAAAGATAAAAACAGGACATTTTAATCTAGGAGGATATAAATTGGTTCAAAATAATAATCAAAGTCTGTAACATGTATAGTCTAGAAAAGTTAAACATAGGCCTTTAAATAAAATCCTGGAATATTTGAGCTATAGGTTTACCTTAGGGGCTTAGAGGAGAAAGTTTAAAAAATATAGACGAAAATACCATTTTACAGAGGTGAGAGAGTAGTTGTTCAATTACTGATGACTTAAACTTAAAATTTAATAAAGTATAATTTATCTGATGCATTCAGGGATGCTAAATCTGTAATAGTTATTTAAGAAAAACCAGGGATGCTTTGAGATATCCTTAATCTGAAGTTGACTTTCTGGATATTAATTATGAAGAGAATTTAAGTTTTACATTGTAAAGCAATTTTTATGTCAGTCTCTGATAATATCTTCATAATCTTGAAGCAAACAGAAACGTTGCCAGATTATTCATCCAGAACCCAGTAAAACTTTACCTTTTATTTAAATGATTAACTATTTCAACATAAAATTATTAGAAAATATAAAGTGACAATATTGTATTGCTTTACAGAAAAACAGATAAAACAAAAAGGTTAGAAACAATTATACCTATAGAAGCTATAATAGCGTTTAAAGAATATATAAATATTTGCACTACATCTATATTAACTTTATATAATTTATCTTGGTTATACTGATTAAATTACTACATTGATTCAAAATATTTACCAACATATCTTGGTTCGTGTTTGTAAATATTCCATGTTTAAAGCTATTTCAAAGCACTCCTGAGTATTCATGGCTATTAATAATGATTTATTTAACACAAATATTCTTTTTCTATATTTAGTCTTTGAACAAAATTACAAATATAATGTAACTGTAGAATCATTTCCATGCTTCAAATACGATTAAGCTTTAATTTCTTCTTAACTTATAAAAGGAATTACTCAATAAAATGTAATATCAAATCCTTGATAGGTAAATAATTTCTATTAAAAAATATGTCTGGAAGGGAAATCTTTCATTTGAAGGATAAATAGGGTAAACCATAACCTACTTTACTTCACGTGAGCGCTTGAATATAAAAACACAAACATCTGAACATTTTACGTCTTGGTATTTTTTAAAAGTTATAAATTAAATGAGCTGTAGTTTAGGGAATAATTTTCTTTTGGTCCTCCATTTTTTAAGTTTCAACAGTAGAGAGGAGAGATTACTTTTGTAAAAACCAGAGATTTATCGCACTGAACACAGGGTAGGAAATATGTTTACTAACCCTTATTTAATGATTAAAAATATTATTATTTCTAATATTTGGTTAAAAACTAAAAAAGTTCCACAATCTTTTCTTTATGCTTGCAATAGTATTTATCCTTGCTCTTTGTAAGAAAAAGAAATGAAATTTATTATTTAAAGTAGAAAAAATCAGATATCATTTTAAAAACTTTATAACAATAGCAACACCAAAAAAAAAAAAAAAAAAAAAAAAGGCCAAATCAGCTGCCAAATCTCATCCCCAGTCCTGTTTTATGAACATAGATTAAATAAAAAGATTTACAAATTAGCAGAACCAGTTCTAAGTAAAATGGTGGTTTTGTAGAATGTCACAAAGCAATGCATTCACAGCATAGCATGAATTAACACCTTGGTCTCTAAAGATATTCAAAGAAGATAAAATGGGAAGGAAATAAGATTCTTACCTGTGCAACATATGCAGAATCTGATATAAGGGAGAAACTGTCCATTTCCCCTCGGCTGATATAGGTTTGAAGTAAGATGTTTATTTTTCCATAACTATTCTCTACACCTCCAGGAGTAGAAAGTTCACAAAAATTGCTTAATAAGGTATCTAACTCCTCTATTTCCTCTTCTCTGACCTAGAAGAATCAAAGTGTTTATTGGAATTTGGGTGCTGATTTAAATTTTTCACATTGAAATTAAATACAATGCATGTTTTCTAAGAGTTTCCATTTACCATAACTCCGTATTTTTCTTTTGCACAGTTAAATAACAATGATTTTTCCATAGGTAGCTAATAAAATGCAATATGAAATGATCTTGAGGCTGATACAATTACATTTTATTATTCATCACCAATATTAAATTTGCCATTGACATATAAAAATTTGATATACCAAAAAATTAAATCTTCTGACCTCACCATCCTTGAATTGATGAGATTTCATATTTTATTTGACCAGAGTAAAACCTCTGCCCAACTGGGTTAGGGCAAACTTGAATTATCTTCAAATGCATTCATTATAGTCATATATTTTTATATGGTATAACACATTCATAGCTTAAAGCCGTGAAGTACTATGATTCAAAGTATTCAAGTTTTCACTGTTAATAAGATTAAATATTAATACAGGTACAGAAATACTCATATCTAAGGTTTGAATCATACAGGTACTTTTACATTTTCTTCAATCAACCTTATATTGCAACAAACCAAAATCTTCATACCACATTCTTCAATAGTTTCATTACTGCAAACCTATTTAAATTATTTAATGTGGAGTACAGAACAAAGAATGATGTCAGGTATGATATAATACAGTAATCTAGGAGGTATGTGGGTCTTATTGATAAAGAACATTGCTATATTCCATATGTGATGTGCCATACAGCTTATATGGTATCAATTAATGAGAAGCTTTTATAAATGAATGAATGCATACATGTTGTATGCATTTGATTCAAACTTCAAGTAATCTTACCTTAATTTGATCAAATTCTTCAGCTTTGGAGACTATAGCAAAGATATCACCTTCTGTTTTGTGAGCATCGAAGAGTTCATTAAAGGTCTACCAAAGTAAGTGTTATATTTGATTAAAATCAAGTCTAACAAAGTATTTTAAATTAAAAATGTGACTATATATTACAAATTTTTAAACATTTGAGCCCTAGACAATGCAGTTACAATGTCTGCGGCATACTACTTAAAATCATTGCTTTATAAATATCAACAAATTTATGAAAGACCAAAAAAAAAAAATTCCTAGAACATAAAAAGCTAAGGAAGATCTTTAGCAGCAAAAAGATAAATAATGAATAAAATCAGTTAATAAAATCTATATTATATACCTTTAAAAAAATCTATATTATATACCTTTAAAAATACTGTGTTTTGCTCATTTTCAGCATGCGAATGTGGAAATCTACACAATTCACTAACTTGAAGCTGATCATATGTCATATAAAATTCAGAGATGTGTATCTAGAAAATATGTAATCTGAAAATTCTCAAAATATTGCTGGTGAGGACATACAGAAAATTAGAAAACTGAGCAGAAAAAAAATCAAAGGCCACATAGAATAAAGACAAATGCTAAAGAAGAGCTAAAGTTCCTGAAAAAGAACTGCAAACAGGTTTAGGATACAGAGTGGTAGCAACACACTGGCAAGTGAACAAATTAAAAAAGTTACTTTGACAGAATGAGTGGATGTGAATAGGAGATAGAAGAAGTGAAAAGCTAGAGACAATGTGTTGAATTGATCTCAACCAGATAACAGTTCTGGGATAACATATGTTTAAAGGTTTTGAAGAAACCTAAAGTACTATACAAATAGAAGGTTTATTTGGGGAAGATGAAAAAAAGTTAGTAGGCACATTAGGTGTCTTCTAAAAACCATTATATGTATAAGCAAATGTGCCTTGACATTTTAGGCTTGAGAGTGCTTATTGCTTGGGATACACTCATTGAATAAGATGACAAGAGGTTCCTTAGTATCTGAAGTTTTATTTTTTTCTTGTCTTTACTGAGGTTATAGTGTTGAATTCATGTAAGTTAAATGGATTTTGTTCTATTATTTGCTTTTATTATTTTACATTAATAATATATTTTGCAGTGAGGTCTAGAAAGTATTTGCATCAAAAACTAAACATATTTGCATTTGTTTCACTCAGTATAATACCTCAATGGTGTTGTATTTAATATAGTAATGGCTGGCAGTTCTACCCAAATCGGTTGAGGAAAAATATCCAGTTCGCTCCTCAAAACGAATCATCTGAGCTTTGTCTAGTTTTCGTCCAACTTCAATGACCAATTGCTCTCGATGCTTTCTTAATGTTGGGTCAATCTACAGCAAAAAACATATAAATGGTTGAATATTTCTTTAGAGAATAATCATTTGCAAACATATATTTATTCATGGAAATTAAAAGTTTTCTTAATGTTTTAATTAGACTTTTTAATTACAATGTTTAAAGTACATTTTTCTACATTTAGGAAATAATGGAAAGCATTTTATGCCATTAAATAAAGCTTTAAAAATTCATTAAAATTACCAATGTGCATATTCTTTTCAGATACTAATATTTTGGAATCCAAAATTCTTATATAGTCTTATGATTTTGAAAATTATAAAGATTAAAAATAAAAATAAAAAAACCCAATAATTAATTCTCTTCTTTCTCCCACACTAAATAGGAATTTTAAGTTATCAAGTCATATTTCTTCTTTATTATCAGTTATTTGGAAAAATGATAAATATTTGACAGAAAATAATGCTTTCCCTGTCAAAATCAAGATATTCTTAAAAATGCAAAGTTATCCTTTCAAAAAGATAGTTGCACTGTTTTAGTAGTTTTAATAACTGCAGATGGGAGAATCCCTTCTGCTTATTAATAATAATAGAAGTAAAAAGTAAATAGAGTTGACAGTGAATTTTTGTATAGTTTTAAAACTACTACTTATACTATTTTGTAGGTAGAGATAATATAACACAAGATAATAACAAGTATTCATGATACTACAGTGTTGTATATAAATATATGTATATACACATGCCAATTCTTAAGGAACAATCTGTGGTCATGAGCAGTAAAGTGAAATATGACCTGTAATGGAGTGGGGAGAGTATAAAAACAATTTAGAAATCAATTAATGAGTTAACACTACCACCATTTGCTCTAACTTAGATATTTATGGTAGCTTATTTATGTACAAAATATAGCTAAAATAAATTTTAAAAATCAGAAAAGTGGAGTAAAAGGATATCAACCGCAGGGACGTAAGATGGGGCAAGAGTCATATGAGCAAATGCAAAAAGTCTTAAATGTTTGCTACAAGTGGATATAATGTATGCATCAGATTCAATTTATAAAAATCTTTTATCAATTGCCTATGACTAAACCATTAAAAATATGTTAAGCTGTTTTATCTGTGTTAGTTCATGAGTTTTGTGGCCACAAATTTGTATTGAGTAATAACATCAAAACACACAAGTCAAAAAAAACACAAAAACAAAACAAAAAAAAACAAACAAAAAAAAACAACACAGGGTCAAGATTCTCTAAACTATGAAGGTACTAATACTATGTATCCAAAAGGCCTTCATACTGAAAAATTATAGACAAATGACTTTTGATTATAAGCTAGTACTTAAAAATCAATAGATGTACTTATTCTCATTCCAAAATTAGAGATGGCTTAATCTATAAAAACACATTGTTTTGTTTTCATTTTTCTTTACTCCTTCAAAACATTTTCATAGTGCCACTGAATCTTCTCAAAATGCCCATATTTGTGATGAAAATAACTAGTGCCATATTCTTTAAATGTGTAAGCTTACAGGTTATAATGCATTTATATTTTATAACAGAGCAATTTGGTTGTAAAAGTAAACATCCATTTATAGATTAGCCCAAGTTTCAACTGAGAGGAAGAAAAGTAGTTGAGTCCTATCTAAAGTAAATCTAAGTCTAAAAACCTAATAATGGCTTCAGATTTACAGCCTCAGAACTAACTGCTGCTGATGTTTTTCTTATTTTTCTTCCCCCAAGCCTTAAGTTTCAGTTTTCCCCTGGTAAAATCTACTGAGTAGGGAAAGAAAAACTAAAACAAATAGAAATTTAAAAATTGGCAACTGCTTTGATAACACAATGGGATTTACATAAAAACTAAGTTACAGTTAATTGGGGAAAACTATAATTTTGATTTAAGTTCAACTTATTTACATATTTTAACTTAATACTAGTAAATATCCATATGATCATTATAGAATAATGTTTTCATTAGACAACAACTGTATTTTATCTGAAATTAGGATGCATTTACAATATATAAAGCAGAGTTATAAAGGAAAGACAAGATTTCACAGAATCTATAAGCCACATGGACCACACAATTGTAAAGTTCATAGGAAGAGCTGCTATCAAATGCATCTAATTCTCAGTCTATGTATATGAACTTGAGTGGAGCTGATTCCAGACCACAAACTGTTAAGTTAATAACTCCTTAATGGTATTTTAAAATTTCAGAATAGGGTTTAGAAGAGACTTGATAAGAGGAACAGATTATATGTAATGTAAGCCAATGATCAAATATGGTCTATAAGTTTCCTCATATCTAATTTATTCTAAAACAAAATTTCTCATAGTCTAAAAAATATGTTTAAAAAACAGCAAAATATTAATATCAAATAGAAATATACTTGAATAATACACTGATAATAGTATAAAGATTAATTTATAAGTATTTGTAGAAAAACATATTTAAATATAGCCTAATAATTATAGGGGCCTATCTAATTTTCTACAAAAGATTAAAATTCTTTGTTTCTCTTCTAGGTACCTCTTTTCTGATGAGGCAGGAGTAGCAAACAAATATTTATCCTCATATCATGAAAAAACTAAAAAGAAAGTCTGATTTTTTTTTTAAATAAATGAGTTTTTCACCTGATAAGCCTTGTGACTGATGCCATATGCTAATGGATTTGCTCTCATCCGTACATAAAGATAAGTGTAACTTATCCACTTCACTGCTTCTTCCACATTAGTTACTGTTCCCAGAGCAATCTGCAAATCAAAAATATGAGAAAAATTAAAGTAATATATTAAAGTTGAACATAAACATTTCATCAAGGACCACTTTGTCAGAGGTGAAGTTTTAAAAATATATCATTATGCAGCAATTTTAAAAAGGTAGGCACAATGACTGGACACAACACTTTGCCAATTAATTAAAATCAGTCCTGTCTCATTTGATTGAGAATGCTACATAAGAAAGCCTGTCTTCTAGAACTGAACTTTCTCAATATTATGGCAGATGATTATTTTTCTTTAAAGGGAGTTTAATTCTACATAGCATTAAGGATATTTTTGTTATTTTTTTTCTTATTCAGTATACAATTTATTTTAATTTCATTTTATGTGACTACATTGCTGAAAAATTTAAGTGTTAAGTGCATCAGATTAAAAACAACAAAGCATTGTTAATTCTATTCCTTGTTATCCTAATTCTGTACACTGTCATCACCAAAACCACAGAGGGGATAAAATTAGCTTTTACCTCTAAAGGTATGCATTTGCAGGACTGGGAGTATAAATATATTATATGAAGACAATAAAAAATTCACTCATTTTTGCACAAAATAAAGCAGATTTTGTTGAGATTTATACATATTAACAGTACATACATTTTAATTCATGTACAAGAACGGGGAGTGGTTTTTATTTATCAGCAAACTTAAAACAACCTATGGAAAAAATATTCATTCCTTTGAACCATAATAAACAGTAGATAATTCTTCAGATTATATCTTGAAAGAAAACATAATTTTTACATAGCATTTAATGTAGCTTTATGATATATTAATTAAAGAAAATCAAAGGTTAATAATTTTTTTTTTTTTTTTTTTTGAGACAGAGTTTTGCTCTTGTTACCCAGGCTGGAGTGCAATGGCACGATCTCGGCTCACTGCAACCTCCGCCTCCTGGGTTCAGGCAATTCTCCTGCCTCAGCCTCCTGAGAAGCTGGGATTACAGGCACGCGCCACCATGCCCAGCTAATTTTTTGTAGTTTTAGTAGAGACGGGGTTTCACCGTGTTGACCAGGATGGTCTCGATCTCTTGACCTCATGATCCACCTGCCTCCCAAAGTGCTGGGATTACAGGCGTGAGCCACCGCGCCCGGCCCCCAAAGGTTAATAATTTTAAAACACAACAATAGCATATAAGATCTATGTAACAAAGAGAAAAGAATTATTAGAAGATGTTATTAACACAGAATTTCAATGAGAAGTTTCTTAGAAACATATTTCCTTAGCCAATGGATCTATAGATAGTAATTTTATTTTTACTTAAGGTATTTATTTTGCTTTAAAAATTTACCCATGTTGTAAAATTTCATAGTTGTATTTTTTTCCTAAATCCTTGGCTGAATTTTTTTTTTCACCTCCTAATACTTTAGTTAAAGGAGAAGAGATGTTTCCTACGCAAATCATTAATTTTAGGAGGAAAACAAGGGAAAACAAACCCTCTCAATTTAGTAATTTTAAAGAAATTTACTAATTTACTAATATTAAAGAAAGTAAAACCTACATATTTAATTCCTACATTATAATTTTAAATTATAATCCTGTATAACTAATTTCATGAAATAAATATGTGGATGCTTAACTGTCTTTAGTTAGTTGAAGATGAGATTTAGTAATGTATAATTTTCATTATAATATTGTGACATGTTATTTGTTACTAAAACAGAGAAGTTACCACAGGTTAAAATATAATAAGGGAGATTCTGTGTACTAACTTTTCAATTTATACCAACTTACTAATAACTAAGCCATCCATAATGTAGGTAAATATATATATTTAATGTAAATTGTAAGGCTTTCCACCAAATTAAGAGTAGCAAGAACTAAAATGGAACCAGTGTGGGAGTTGTGTAATAGTTCCTGAAGATTTACAACTAGAACAGTTAAACATTTTCTAGTCTACTTAGGCAAATGAAACTAGTTTGTTGATATGGCTAAAAATCCAAGAGTTTCTCTCCTTCATAAATCCATTATTTGACAGACAAAATTGTATTAAACTACAGATATACAACCTACATTCCATCATGACTTTATGATGTTACTCTAAAATAATGACCTATATTCTCTTATAAACTTAGAAAATGATTTTAAAGTAACATTACACAACTCCTATGAGTAGACAGTTTTGTAAGGGATAAAATAAGCTTGCTATTATTTTCAAAATCAGACAGTAAATTAACATTAAACAATTACTTTTCACTACTAGTGATAATGATTAAAGGAAAGGAGAAAGTAGGTAGCAAAGATGGGGTCAACTAAAGCAAATCTTATAAATGTTCACTAAAAAGGATAAGACTACTCAGGAAAATCAAGGTAAATTTATGATGCTATATCTTATTTTGAGAGTAATATTTGAATGCCACCTAGTGACAAAAAATAAAAATGTATTTGTAAATATTTGCTGTCACCTAGTGGCTACTTAGTGCAGGAGCCTTTTATAAAACAGGTATTTTTTCATAATGTGTCTGAAATTTATTATTCATCTCAAAATCATAGTCAGTCAGTAACAAGCCTGTGCTAAGTAAAGCACAATGGATATAGTAACAAATAGAGTATGCTCTCTGGCCTCAAGAAGTTCCACGGTAATGGAGGTGAGACATACGTAACTAACTACAATGACTTATATGAACCCACCATCCACAATGCATAGCACATAATACCTATTCAAAACGCTTTCAAAGAAAAGCATTTAACATGACATTTCTAAAAGTGGCATTAGTATATAGTGTGATAGTTTAACGTTCTGTTAAGTAAAAGAGAAAAATAAAATCTACCCACAAATTTGGCAATTTAGAATTATGGCTCAGTATCACTTCATATCTAAGTTACCTATTTAAACTTCAGTATTTAAGGTTATCTCAATTGTTTATTTGTATATATATATTTAAAAAATGATTGAAATCATATAAAAACTTAAGCAAATACTATAATCATCATGAGTATGTATGTGTGTATATATATATGTATATATAAGCTAGTAAATATACATACAAACTATGCTACTACTCATTTATTTATTTAAGGAAAATTTCAGTGCTGGCAATAAGTATGAACAGGGTTGAGTATCAACAGACTATCAGAAAATGGTTAAGTGACTCTATCATTTACCATAAACTACCCTGGAACAGGCGTTTTTTAAATTTTCACAACAATCCACTGAGAGTATCTCTATTTTATAAGTGAGAAAATTGGGACATTTTAGGTGAAGTGAATAGAGTAGCAGCTTGTCTAGGGGAGAAGATCTGTGTTAGAGAGTAACTGCAGCCAGAATTAGGAAGGTTGCTCAGATTACAGAGGCCTTAAATCCAAGGACAAGGTGTTTGCATAATATTCTATAGAGATGGGATGAATTCTGTATAAAAAAATGTATGTAGTATGTAAGGTGAAAGAAAGATTAACATAGTTTTGAAGAACAGACTACAGGGAGCTGGCACAGAGTAGGTACTCAGTAATATCTGATGTATAAATTTTAATAAGCCTCAGTATTTCCTTCAGTGTAAAGTTAAGTGGCTTTATACAGGGATGGGACTTGTGACCTTTCAGCATGAGGATTATTTAGTCAGTCTCATTAGGCATTGATAAGCAAACATGCCTCATAACATGTTTGCCTTAAAATTATAACAATATAATAATTTCTCCAGTTCTTCTACAGTCAGAGTTGATATTCAGGATATCAAAGATATTAATAAAGGCAACATTCTTAACCATGCACAACCCTAATGTTGATTAGTGCAACTGTAGAGTCTTGCAATGATTTAGGGAGTCTAAAGACTTAAAAATTCATTACCTAAAGAACAAAGCACATATTCATTTTATAAACTGATTTGACACTTGATTTCCACAGATAGCCAACTTTAATTTCACATTCAACAATAATTTAAGTATTTGTTTCCTTAACAGGAAAATTCAGTTTAACAGGGAGCTATTCCAATGTATCAGAATATGAACAAGTTAGTTCAGCAATGGCTTATAGTTCACTCTATTGGTTAAAAATGTCAAGATATATGTTTTATTGTTTTAATACCATTTACATCACTAAATGGAATTATAGTTAGCAAACATTTTTGAAAAATTACATATTTAATAAGTACTTTATAAATATTTGATGAATTTATGGGCCATAATTTATTTTTAATTTCTCAGGACTTGATCAAATAGTTTCAGTGATGCTATTTTACAATACCTAAGAAAAAGAGTTTCTTGAAGACAAAAGCAGTATTTTGCTGACTTTGTGTCTTCTGTATAACATTGCCAACTTGTGTTTATTTTACCAATTACAAAACACTATCATGTTCATAAGTTTACTGAGATACAGTCTTCCTTGACATGTATTTTAAGAAAAAGTGCATGAAGGAACCATGCCTTTTACTGTAAGCCAGGAAAATTATGGCTGCCATTCTGGAAAATGTTTTTAATACAGGACGTAGTCGAGGGCAAATGCTATATATTAATATAGGGAAATGTAATCACCTTTAACTTACTACATTTTATATAAAATAAATCTAAGCTATAATGAAAAGGCTAGGTTTAGAGTTAAATAGAGTTATAACATAGTGACCTTGGGTCAGTTACACATAATTCTGAGGATATCTCTATAGCAGCAGTAGTGAGAAAATGAGAAAATGTACATGAAGCACTGAGCAGAGTCTCTGGTATATAGCAGGTCCTCAGTTCACTGCTACTATCATTTTACATTAAGAGACTTTGTTGCATACATTAGGCACTGTTGACCCAAGACCTAATTATTTAAGCCACACAATTACAGTAGCCAATAGGATTAAAATTGAGCTATAATAGTATTTCCTTTAGATTCCATTTTTATTTCTCAGTTTTTGAAAATTTTCTCGTAATTTTTCTAATAGAAACTGGAGGTCCTTCATGCTTTTTTCTCTATTATCTTCTAAAACTTATTCATTCTTCGAATAAGCATCTCAATTCTGGCTCTGGTTACTCTCCAACACAGATCTTTTGCACTAGACAAGCTGTTACTCCACTCACTTCACCTAAAAGTCCCAATTTTCTCATAAAATAAAGACACTCTCACTGGATCAAATTTCACCACATTCATGGACCAAGAATTTTCTGATAGCCTGGGCCAAACCTATTTCTCCTTTTGCTGAATGCTTCTACAGAACTTTCTTTGCAACATTATTGCACTATTTTTTCATGTCTTTTTTCCCCCATTTGGAATATATGCTTCCTAATAAAGAAAACAAAATACTAAGTGTGTTTTTCATTCTCCAAAAAGACTTATAAATAATATGAATGGAATGTTAAATGAAATTTCTATAAGCTCTTTAAGAAGTACCTAATATAGGACTTGTACACAATAAGTAGTATTTGATTGTAAATATTTCAAAGTAGTCATTTACTTAATATTTATATCCTACCTACTTTCAAATATTGTTTGATTCAACATTAACGTTATGAAAGAATACTGAACTAGGAAAGTGTTAGATACCAAAGCAATAATTTGAAATGTCACAAAACAGTCAAACCTGTTAAATGTTCTATACATATACTCAAAATTTTAAGAATGTTTATTTTCTTAACCAGAGATGTTACCTAGGCTTCCAGGGTCTGCTATGTAAATCTTAACATAAAAGTCACACACACACACACACACACACACACACACACACACACACCAAATTATCATACTCTAGCTGAATCACATTGTGTATAACAAAGTTAATCAACTGACGTAATAGAGCTAAGAGTTTTATAAATTTTATTAAACCTTTAGTAACAATTTCATTTAAAACTTTGTAAAAGTGCAATACAAATATTAGTTATTATTGCTATTTTTGTTTCCATATTTTGTGTAGTCTTTGTTAGATTTCTAGTCTCTAGTACAGTCTTTTAGCAATAGATTCTTATCGGTTATCATCTGTATTCTGTAATCCTCTGAATTAACCAACAATAATGCCATTCAGCCAATTTTGTCTTATACTACATGGCATAAGTTGTAATTCTAAATACTGCAAAACAGCAAACAACTCAACCTTTATCTTTCTTGGCCATTCTTAAGACTGATGATTCTATTCCAAACTTTTACTCATTAGATCTTACCTCTGCATTTAGGTTATCTGCAAGGCTTTCCAGAAACTGACTCTCAATTGGGTTTCGTTGGGTGAGCAAAGTGAGGTAATGGCTGAGTTTATCATGCGTTGTTATAATGATTCCTTCCCCAAATTTGTCAAATTGTGGTCGTCCAGCTCGACCAAATATCTGCATGACATCTAAAATTCCAAGGTCAACAAAGGAGCCTCTTTTTGCAGCATATATTTGTGTTCCCTAGATGAGGAAAAGTTAACAAATATTTACATAAACACACACAAATATGATCCTGGTGAACTGAACACTGAGATTAGGCAAATATGGAAAGATCTCAAAAGTGTACTTTAACTAATCCTTTCTTCATCTGCGATAGAGTTAAATTTTCACAATATAAACTAGATTCTTATTGGAGAAAATAATTCTTACCTTTTATAAATAACATTCAGTGTCAACAAAGCAGCCAAATCACAATATTTTTCTGGATAAATCAACCCAGAGGTTTGCTTCAAGACACACACAAATCCATGTGTCAAGGAAGGTAGGCTCTTACCTTAATAATAACAGCATGAGCAGGAAGATTGACACCCCAGGCTAACGTAGCTGTGCAAACTAGGACTTTGATATGCCCATTAGAAAACAAGTTTTCAACTAAATTTCTGTCCTGCCGAAGCATTCCTGCATGATGAATACTAAAACCATCTGGGAATAATTCTCGTACTTGCTTATTTCTCGACCTTTGTACCTAGATACCAAGAAAGAATGAGTATTATTTAGCATTTAAAAGCAATTGTTATTAAGCATTTTGGTTTTATGAGTTTATCAAAGAAACCAGAAAATTATTTTTAAGCATCTTAAGTATTACTAAGCCTTAGTATATAATGCTGTATAGAAAATCATAAAAATAACATTATCTATCTTAAAAAATAGGTAATAACAAACTATGTCACAAAACGCAAAAGGAAACAGGTGAAAAGCAAGTGTCTCTTTCATCCAGATGTCCCTTTTTGCAATGAGTCAGTATTACCTGCTTCTTAGCCTTCAAAAAATACGTTATTCAAAATAAAACTAAATCTCAGTGGCTTTCCAACTCCTTAAAGAGTAAAGGCCAGAGTCACTATAATGCAAGGCCCTACAAAAATCAATCTCATCCCCTTACCTCATCCACACCAGCCACAATAGCTGGCTTTTCTGTGAGTATATTTTCTGACAAGTCCATATCTACTTCAGAGCCTTTACTTTTATTCCAGACCCACTGCCTTCGAGACCCTCTCCCTTCTTATTGAGATCCCCATGATGCTTCCCCTATGATGTTCCTCATTGCAATAAGTCAATACGTCAATATACCCAACTTTATTCACCTACAGCTGTGTTCTTAGTCATCTTTGATAGCAAAGCATTGACCATCTGCCTTAGCTCCTCAACTACACATGTGCATTGAGTATACAGTAGTCCTTCCTTATCTGCAGTTTTGCTTTCTGTGGTTTCCACTACCTGAGGCCAACTGTGGTCCAAAAATATTAAATGGAATATTCCAGAAATAAACCAATCATGTTTTAAGTTGCACACTCTTCTGAGTAGCATAGTGAAATCTCACACTGTCCTACTCCATCTAACCCAGAACATGAACCTTTTGTCCACCATATCTAAGCTGTAGACACTCTTCACTCATTAGTCACTTAGTATGTACTAGGCTTGGTTATCAGACTGACTGTTGAAGAATCACAGTGTTTGTGTTCAAGTCACTCTTATTTTGCTCAATAATGGTCCTGAAGTTCAACATTAGTGATGTTAGCAATTTGAATTTGGCACAGAGAAGCCATAAGGTGTTTCCTTTAAGTAAAAAGGTGAAAGTTTTCAACTTAAGGGAAAAAAAAAAACCAAAATTGTATGCTGAGGTTGCTAAAATCCATGGTAAGAGAAACAAATCTCCTATTCAAGAAATTATGAAGAAGAAAAAAGAAATTTGTGTTGGTTTTGCTGTTGCATCTCAGATTGCAAGTTACAGCTACAGTGTGTGATACATAGTTAAGATGAAAAAGGCATTACATTTGTGGGAAGAAGACATGAACAGAAATGTACCTTAACTGACAGCAATAGAGCTAGTTCACTACTATCTGTGGTTTCCTATCTTGGAAATATCCCCCACAGTTCAGGGCGAACTACTGTTATAACGTCACTTCTGGTTCTGTTCTTTGGCCTAATCTGAGCTCAGAAGTGAGATTTAGTATACTTATATGCAACCTGTATAAGTGCTATACAGAAGGACTTAAAAGATTCACTGAAGATTCAGTATACAATAGACAAAATTTTTGTGAAAAATTAAAGACCTTAGATAAACATTTAAAGAAATGTTTATATAGTTAAAGCTTCTTATTGTCCGTCACATCATGTGTTTATTTGCTATTGCTCTCAAAATCTCATTATCAATTCGAGAATTTCATTTTGAAATTTTTATCCCACCCTTTTTACTTAAGGGCATGACAATGGCAAGGGAGTAAGATTTCAGGGGACTGGGGTTCCAGTCTACACCTTACCATACTGATTATCTCTCAGGTCACTTAAAATTTTAAACTTCTAAGTTAATAATATTTAACTAATAAAATGATCTAAGAAAATAGCATTCCATGAAATCTGCTTCAATTATAAAACCAAAAGTAATGCATTAACAAACCCCACCATCTAGTGGCCAGCCAAGTAAATAACAACTTGTACATTTTGAGCCTCTCAAGGGTCTAAAACAAAATACGTATATATACATAACAAAAGAGGAGAGCTTCTTAAAGTTTAAAGGGGAGTACATTCTTACTTTATTCTTGTGGAGCGCAGTCAGCCTGCTAGAAATTATTTTATATATACTTTATGACTAATTACACTTGGATCTCATTGCCTCAGCTTTCATCTTTTCAGACAAGCAATATTGTTACTGTAATCTTAAAGCAGATCTTATGAATATGGAAAAAAGTCCAATTGTGGTGTATTTGCTGAGAGCTCCTTCAGAGGCCAAAGGTCGGGAGAGGAGAAACATTCCACTTAATTCATGTATTCTCTAATATTCAAGAGAGGACATTCAAAGCCGACAGAGGAAACTAAAACTATTGGTTGGAGGAGATACTCTGTACAAATCGTATTGCTGGATTGCAGTTTGGTTTCAGGTGAGCTCTGCTATCTGTGGATCCCCTGCATTGAAATGTTCTGCTGTCCTTATAAATAGTGATAGATTCCTTAGTCAAAGCCCACTTGAGGTAGGACATAGCTAGGCCTGCTATGGCACGAATGACACAGTTAGAAGTTAAACATAGGAAGTATGTATCTGTGATGGAGATGTTTCTTATAAAGTAACAGGTGGATCTTGGAGTACTGACATAGCACCTCCCACTTGAGCACATGGCTGAACCAGCGTCAGTGGCCACCAACTGGGTATATCTCTTTGGTCTCTGTGAGAAACTAGGAGGAGGTCGGAGTCATTTTTATTTCTATTCTTCTATATTGTGTGCATTTTTTTTTTTATTGGTTCATTACAAACTTGAAGTGACAACAATCTGAAAATAAGTTTGGGTTTTTTATTCTTAACTATCTTTGAATCCCAAATGAGGCCCAGGGATGTTTCTCATCTGATTTTAAAATTCATCATAAAGCAAAACTATTTTTCTACATTTAGTGTAAACATCAAAGAATTTTAATACATATATATGTTTGTGTAGCCACCATCATAATCAAGAAGAATTTCTCAACCCTAAAAAATTCCCTCATGCTACCTCTTTATAGTTAAACTCTTCCCAACGACTAACCCTAGCAACCACTAACGTGTACTCCAACCCTATAGTTTTGTCACTCCAAGACCATTATATAAATTGAGTCAGAAAATAGAACACTTAAACTGATTCTACAGACTAGTATGATGGCACTGACAAAGCAGAAAAGTGAATACAGAAACAATATCTCTCTTATAAATATTAATCTAAATAGTCAAGAACTTTAGAAAACAGAATTCATCAATGCATTGAAACAAAACATCACAACTAAGTACTACCCCAGAATGCAAGGCCATTACACTTAATATATTAATATATTTAAGAATTCAAAAAAGAAAGAATATTATGATGATGTCCAGACACTGAAATGTGACAAAAGGCTACATTCAGTTCTGATGATTAGAGAACTCAATATATATTTCAAACTATGCTTAATAGTAAACACTCAGAGTATACACATTAAAATTAGGAAGTAGGCAAAGTTGTTCAGTATCAGCCTGTTGATGTTCTAGATAATAATATTAGATATGAGAAAATAATAAAGAATATAAATACTGGAAAAGTATAATTGTAAAATAATCACTTGTTGTAGATAAATACTCATTTAGAAAACTGAGTACTAACCAAAATATACAAAATAAAATAACAAAAGAATTTGGAAAGATGATAGTCTTAAAAATTTAATATTTTTATAAAAGGCTTTCTTTTATAAAAACATTTTTTCTTTATGTTGATATTGTATTTTTCTTTTAAAAATAAAAAATATATTTTTATTTTCTTTAATATAAAATATTAATCTTTAATATTATAAAATATAATATTTTATAAAGGTCTTTTATAAAAAGACATATACATACTATACATATACACATATAATAACTCACAAAATAAAAGTGAAAAATATCACATTTATAGGAGTGAAAACAGTAAGCGATAGGCAGGATTTATATAAAGTTTTATAATATTGTTGAAGAACATTCAAGAAATGATATATTTTAGTTTTGAGATGGGAAAACTTGATTTGGCAAAAATACCAGTTCTCATTAACTTAATCTATAAAATCAATACACTAACTCAACTAAAATATGAACATGATTTCCTTGTGGCAATACTAAAATTCACCCTGAAAAGTAAGACTGTAAACTTATCCAGGAGAAATTCTACAACTGAAGAATAATCATGATATTTAATCCAACCAGTTATTGAGAATCCTATAAAAACAAAATAAGTAAAACAGTTTGATACAAAAGAAGAAACAATAAGATCAATGACACAGAATAGAACGTTCAGAAATGACTCGTAAATATGGGGATGTTGTATATTAAACTTTTAAATCAATGGCAAATACAGTGAGTAGGAAAAGATGATGGGCCCACCACTATCTGGAATAGGTTCCAGAAACATCAAGTATTTAATAATAAAAATAAAATATAAGACTTGAAGAAATCACAGTTGCAGCAGGTTTGTCTTTTATATGCAAGACATAAAACCTAGAGTAAATAAATAAATTTACAGAATTTTTACATGGTAAAAAATAATCACAAACAAAAATAAACATCAAGGATTAAACAGAAAAAGTTTATGAAACATATATGGTATTAAATGCAGTTTAGTACAAAATGGACCAAGTTTGTAAACAATTTAAAGAATAGGAAATACAAATAGCCAACATAAAAAATGTTCAGTTTCACTCATAATTAAAGAATTGCTGATCAAAATAATAATGAAGTGCCATTTTTTGCTTGTTAATCTGTTATAAACTGAAAAACATTAACACTGCCCAGTGCTGGCAAAGTTATGTGGGGGAAAGTACAGCGTTCCCATGATATCCATGGGAGACTGATTCAAGGAACCCCTTATTCTCCCCCGTAGACACCCAAAAACCATGAATGCTTAAGACCCTTATATAAAATGGTGTGATATTTGCATATAACTTACACAGTCTGCCTGTATATTTTAAATCATCTTCAGATTACTTATAATACCTAAT